GTTATTTTATATACTAAAACGATACAACGAAAATTGTATTTTTTTTTTTTTTTTTTATTAGTTATAAATTTACTACAAAAGTAACACATTTATTTATGTATATATTTTTTTTTAACACCAAAAATATTGCTTTAAAACGTACGAGTAATTACCGACAGTTGGACGTTTTAAATGCTGCACGGCGTTTTTCCCATCGCTGCTTTATCCCGCGTTCGTTAAAAACCGCATTGTCATCGCTCGAGGTTACAGCGTTTGGTATTATTGGAAAAACGTCGCAATTTTAAAACGGCATACATTTTTCTCGAAACCCCCCGGACACGTTGGCGTCCCGAAATCTGTTTTCGGGACGCCGGTACATTGAGTCCAAAACCGGTGCCCCGGTCCTGGTTTTCCGGGACGTGTGGCGACCCCAGCTGTCCCTAACACGTAGTTTCGGCGCCAGCGACGTGCGCCATCGAGCCGTAGAGATGCGGGTAAAAATTGTATGCGCGCGAAAACGAGCGGGTGCCTATTTTTTTTGACACCTGGAAAAGTGTAAGAAAAAAATGGAATAACGGGCGCGTGTAATTCGCGGCGAAAACACGTACGTACGCGATTCGCGTTACGCCGAAAATTTTATTTCGGTAACTCTGGCCATTTTTTAAGATTTTGTAATTTACGACGCATAAAACATAAACAAAAGGACGTTATGTGATCTGCGCCATTTTGTGCATACACGATTTGTAATTCACGCCACTTTAAAATAAACGAACAATTGTTTTTAACGGATCAGCATGTTGTATTTTCAATACAATATGACGATGGTTCATTTTGCAGCCAGTGTATTATTTTTTTTTTTTTAATAAAAATATTATACGATAGAGTTGTTGTGAAGTCTAACGGTAGCATATTATACATTTTTTGTCTTATGTACAAGTAAATAGATCGAGTTGGTTTTCTGTGCATTAAGGGAACAGCAATGTTTGATAATTGTCTCGTGTTATACCCGTGATCAGTACCAGATGTTAGGTTATTTTTAATTACATAAATTAGTGATGCCTTATCGATTTATATCGAAATTATTATCGAATAAATATAAGATTTATCTAAATTTTTTTTTTTAACGGTAGAACATTGAATTCTCTGTGCAGATATTCTGTGTGATACAAATGATTCGTTTTAAAAATAATTTTTATTATTCTATTTTGTATTAGTTTTAATTGATTTTGTGTTTTATCGTAGGCACCTCCTCAAATATTAATGTAATGGTTAATAGTTAATTATGGAATCTGTTAGAGCTTAGTATACAATTATAGTTTTCTTAATTTCAAGTAAAATTAGCTGAATTTTTGAAAGCATAGATTATTTTTCGGTTTTATCGTTGCAGACAACGACAACGATTTAATGTGGTCATTCCGTCAATCCGTCGGATTATCATTTATCATTCACAATTTGGCGCAGAATACAAACAACACTACCCCCCCCACCCCCCCGAAAATATTGTATCCTCGTTGCGCCACTGATGCGAGTACATCGCATTCGTAACGTGACACTCTATTACGTTTCTTTTGGATATAAATTTCGTTCACGACCATATTAAACGGAATAAATAATGTCGACGGGAAATGACGACCGCGACGATTAGAACACGTACGCGTTTGTATTGTATTGTATTATTTCCACGGTACCATTCGAATACCGAATATTTTCAACGCTCGTTTGGAAAACACGTAGCAATTTCGTTACAATAGGACGCGTTATCGGTCGACCGGTCGGTATTCGGGGAAGAGCAGCTGCGTGCGACGCGGTGTACGGGGAAGAGCAGCTGCGAGCAGCGCGGTATACGTGGAAGAGCAGCTGCGTGCGGCGCGGTATACGGGGAAGAGCAGCTGCGAGCGGCCTGCCGCGCGTGACCCTCCCCCCCCCGCCATTTCGTATTGCCCGCTGTACAAGGCGGCGGAACATGTTCGTCGTCGCGCCGTTGGATAGACGGAGCTGGTGAAAACGTTGCGCGCGACAAGGACGGCGATAAATGCCGAGAAATTCCGTATCGTGAACGGCCGCGCGTGCGTGCACGAGGGAACGCGGGTCGATGCCGCGCTTGCGTGCACGACGGTAAGCCGGTCGATGCCGCGCGTGCGTGCACGACGGAACGCGGGACGATGCCGCCCGTGCGTGCACGACGGTACGCCGGTCGCTGGCGCGGCGCTGCGGGTGCGTGCACGACGGTACGCGGGTCGATGCCGCGCGTGCGTGCACGATGGAACGCGGGACGATGCCGCGCGTGCGTGCACGACGGTACGCCGGTCGCTGGCGAGGCGCTGCGGGTGCGTGCACGACGGTACGCCGGTCTCTGGCGCGGCGCTGCGGGTGCGTGCACGGTTGGTTCCGATAGAATGTGATCTCGGCCCGACCCAGCGCGTCCGGTCGCCGATAACGCGCATGAATATTGTGTGGCCGGGCGTAATAATATTATACGCGCGTGTAGGCTTTCTATTTTATTTATTATTTTTTTTTTTTTTTATTTCGTTCCCCCCGTTAGATTCGGAGCGTGGCCAGTGATCCATAGGTTTTACCGCTATGCCGTGCGCTATTATTCATTTTTTTTCCCCCTATCCTTTTGATACGATTTTTCGAAAATGAATTTCGCTCCGGCGTGCATGCAGATATAGCGCGTCGTCTTTTCCGAGGGCCGAATTGAATGTAATTCACGCATTGGAGCGAGGTCGTTTTTTAACAACACGTAAAACGGCAATTATTTACGGCCCGCTGCGGCGGGACGAAACTGATTTTTAGAGAGAATCAAGGAGCAAGCAGCCGCCCCCGGTGCTACACCAAATACACGGTCGCCCGAATCGTTCACCTCTTCATCGGCATACCTGTTACCCCACCCTCTTTTTTTCAAAATGTTTTTTGTTTTGGTCATCCAAATATTTCGTCCGCATAATCGAATCCTCTCTCGACTCATCTATATGCCTATTTCGTTATCATATACCTACGGAATCTCACCTAACCATACCCACTGTTCACAAATCGTTATCCTGCGATTATTATTATTTTACATGCATTATGATATTTTTCGTCACCGGTCGCACGCGCGCGCGGTCGCCTAACCCCGCCGACACTCTATCCATACCAGCCGCTAAATATTGCCCATACGACAAAAAATTATTATGCACATAATTACAAAAACGAAATTTATATTGGTTACGTCGACGGTCCGTGCATTCCTGCGAGTGAATATGTTTACCCCCCCCCCCGCCCGCTCGCCTATCGGGCGGCCGCCGGCCGACGCAAGTCGTAATTCTTAGAACGTCGGCGGACGCCGGTACGAAGGTCGAAATATCTTCGCCCGTGTTACCGTACCCGCCACATAACCTAAACCACCTCGCACTGTCCCGTACGTCCTTTCGTCTACATCAGTGGTTCCCAAACTCTTTTTCTCCCGTAGAGCCATTTTTGTCTGTGTTTCATAGACTCCTAATATCGAATGTTTACAAATTCATCTACGTGTTTTTGAAAGCATATACGCTGAGCTACTTACTTAAATAATGTTTACTGTGGATCGAAACGTTTTTCAATAAAAAAACGTGTAAATTTTATTTTATTTAGAATTTTCTGTTCTTTAATAATGACAATATTTATTTAATTTTTTAATTATTAAAACGGCAGGAAATGCAAATTAAATGTATTAACATAAAAAAATACAAATTATATCTATAATAGGAAGGATAAGTCCGATGCTTTGGTAGTATATCATCAATATTTGGCTTCAAATTAGTCAGGTTTAACCTTGAATCTCCTTTACCAGTGATTTCCAATCTGTTTATTTTTTTTTTTTTTTCATAAGAAGGTTGGCAACCGTGCTATAACGATACACGCATTTTTGACTTAATAACTATCGTGAACCCCTATTTACACGTCATGCAACCCCAATTTTATTTTTCGTTGACATGCAAGGGGTCCATGCATGTTAGAATCGATCACAGGGGATCGGTATAGACCACTATGGGAACCTTTGGTCTACATCGTAATTATAAGTATCTATACAAAAATATTATACGTGTTTTCATAGGCGTAATATAATCGTCGTCGTCTTGCTGTTAGGTTAGATTTTTGTCAACGGCAATATAATTGTTAGAACCATTTAATCGACCAACTGGTACACTAACGACAACAACAAAATTGTTAATTATACACACACACACACACACATGCATATACACACGTATACCCGTACACGTACGCACACGCACATGCATGTGTACATACGACCTACGATCGCCCCTCGAAAATAGTATTTTCGTCGAAAAACAATAGTACCAACCAGTGTATTTTTTTCTAACGAATAATACACGGGCTTCGACCACAATATTTCGTATCACCGGTTTGAATGCTATTTAAACTTAACACGGTTCATCGGTACGGCACGTCGGTAACACAACTATTAGAGCACGTACATGTAAAACCATTAATGTTACGTCGCCGTTTTCAATGCTCTATGTGTCCGATACGTCGCACGGCGCATTGGTCACGCGTACAGCACAATTATTTCAGTGTATTTATCTACGTTCGTTTCCATCGATAATAGAATTATCACACTTTGTGCCGATCTCGATTCGGAAAATATTGTTCGCCGAGTATTGGTCGCGTTCACCGTACGCGCGGAACAGATGCGAGCGTTTTCAATAGCAATGTCCACATGAAATACAATCAATGGCGTCGCCGTTACCGTGCACGCGCGCGGGTACAAAGGTCGTGGTTTTTCGGTTTTTCGTTTCGGCGGTCGCGTCACCCCGCACACCCCACTGGCTGCTATCGGTTGCGGATGTCGAGACCAAACGGTTTTACGAAACGGCCCTCCCCCCCATCTACTACCCGCCGCACCGGTCGAATATTGTCTGTACGACAAAATAATAAACATCACATAATCGTCGAGCGATTTCCCGTTGGCACGTGGATTTCGCGTCAACGACAAATCCATTATCCGTTATATCCGTCGGTATCGTCGACCTGCCGGTTCAGAGGGCGACGATCACACGATCCTCATTCACCCGCGCGCACACGCACTTTGTTGATATAATGCTTTAGACATTTGAAAAACGCGTACATGATATTAAATAAAAACGAATTTTTAAATTTTGCCGGAATATTTATATTCGAAAATAAACGTACACCGAAGGTCACGTGACGTATCTATTCATATAATTATTAAAAACGTCGAAACCCAACGAGCCATTAATTTACCGTTTCCGTAAGGCGAAAACTTTGTGAAAATGTACGGTGTTCGGGATTCGAATCCAACGTGAAACACGCGGCAAGGTAAATAAATTGTCGTCCGTACACAGTCGGTCTGATCGCGGACACTACACGGTCTCCGTGTTGACAACGCCGACTCGCGGATTGAAATCTCTGATCATTTTCCGTATCTGTTCTCCCTTGACGTACGTGTGTGTGTTCGAATTTCAACGGGTTAAAAACACCACCGTGTTCTCCGCACTCTACACCGCCGTAGCACAGCATGGACATTTCGTTCGAGCCATTTGTTCGTCTTACACGACTTTTCCCGTTTTGAGTTGCCCGCGTATCCCCGCGTCGACTGTAGACGTTTCCTTCATCAGATATTTACTACCCGACCTTTAAAACGCGTCGAAAACGCCGAGAAAATAGCGGATGACCACATTCGTGTGTTAAGCACGTCTTTCACGCACAACGGATCCGTTTAAACGGAATTCGGGCCGATAGATACGTCAGCGACAGTCAAATATTGTTTTCCGCTTCGTCCGTCCTCCGCAGTTCTGTGTCCCATGCGAAATATAACCGGCGACGGGGGGCTCTGCCTACCGACGGGTCTATAACGGTCCGTCCCGCGATAACAGCCGACGACATGGTATACAAACCGGCTGACCCGGCGGCGAACGTTGTTTCGCCGTGTAAGTCAGTAGTTTTCGGATTTCAAACGGACATTTCGGTAGTCGAACGGAAAATAACCGAGCCGTTTACGTCGGTGTGTGTTGGGGACGTGGGACCGTGAACGATGACTGCCGCCTATAGACCTATTGCCGATCTCTAGCTGATGCCGCCCCGGCGATGCCCGTGCCGTTTTTCATATTTTTTTTTTTTTTTCTCATTAAGATATCTAAAACAAAACATTTAATATACATCAAAATTAAATTTTGTTACAGAATTGATTAACTCGCCCCATGTGAGCTTATGCAGCATGTGTCGGAGATAAGGAGCTAGGATTACTAATAAATCGATATATATATATATATACTAGCTGTTCCGCCCGGTGTTGCCCGTGCCAAATAAATGTGTAACAAAAACGATTTCCCCCCCTAGATTTCTTGTTTCAATGTCCGTCACTATTACTGCAGTTAACCGTTGTCGCCCTTAAGTTTATTTTTATTTTCAAACTTATATAAATTAGGTACACGGTTGCTAAGCAATGAAAAATATCTGATACATTTTTCAGTTTCGTGGCGATCGGATGAACGGTTTAGGAAGGCACAAGAGACATCACACACGTACATAGGTTCGGTTAGGTTAGCAAAATTAGCCAAATCGGCCCAGCCGTTGTCAATTGTTATTGGCACNTAAAAAATAACCACATAGAGTGTATATCATCTCTCCGTGGCAAAATAATAATTGTTGAATATCGTGCGTACTAGTATACTTTGACTTAAGAGGCCATAACTCCGGAACCACTTATCGCAGAGCATACAAACTTAGATAGTAGCCGATTCTCAGACCTACTGAATACGCATATAAAATTTCATGAGAATCGATCGAGCCGTCCCGGAGGAGTATGGGAACGAACATTGTGACGCGATGATTTTATATATAAGATAATAAATAAGAACACGGTGTAAATTTATTTCAATTTAAAAAAAAAAAAAAAAAAATTTAAATACATCTTGAAACAACTCTAGAAATATATAAAATAGCTTATTTTCCAAATAACAATGTTAAAGGCAAATAAATAAACAAAAACAAATCAAACATTTGTGCTATAGATACAGGTAGTATAGGTACAATAAATAGAAAATAATGAAATAAAATTGGGTTATATTACCGTAAATCCTTGTCTAATTCAAAGAATAAATATTTGTATGTTAAATCTTTAATGTTTACAAGTCATAGGGCATAGAGTTGAAAGAAGTTGGACTCTGGTAGTCTACAAAACGCCGACCGAAGGAAGTACTCGCATATTCAACAATCAAATCATATTTTTTTCATTTCCTTCTTGTTGCCTACCTCCTTTCGATCGTTAATTAAATTAAATTTCTTAATCAAATACATATTTGCAATTTTTTATATAAAAACCTTATAGGCCGAATTCTTTATAGTTAGCGTTCGTAGATCCTTGCTAAGTGAATTTATTTAGACAAATGCTAACTATATTGTTTTTATTAATTACTAATGCATTTAAGATGTTATCCCGAAGGCCTCCTTATTGATATTACATAACATAGTATTATCAGTCATTATCAATGTTCGTTATAACGATGGATATTTATAGATAAGACATTTTAACCGTGAGTCATGTCTGAGCCGGTCGGGACACGCCTCTTACCCCCACCCTAAATCTATACGTTTTTCACGAGTGTTGGTAGACGGACACCAGAAATTATTATCCTCCTGACAGTCGAAGCATTTCTCCGGCCGGAAATTTTTTCCGGGCATTTTTTAAAAAAAAAAAAAAAAAAAAACGTACAAGTATTTTAAATACGGCCGCTTTAAACGAAACAAACGCAACTGCTGGCAAGAAACGATTATACGCAAATACGGTGCACCAGCGGACCTTATGGACTGCAGTAACTTTGCTCGGAGGTTCACAGAGCGCAAGTCCGTGAACACAGACGTCCACCCGATGACAGTCACGTTCGCCGTCTAAGTATTGATAACAACACCGTCGCGGTACGTTAACGTAACGCCAGATTTGACCACGCGTATATTTTCACCGCAATCCCAGCACGCTCGAAATACAAGTTCGATGCATTTATTTCTGGAGACCGCGATATTCAAGTTATCGCGTTGTTTGACAACATAGAAAATGTCCTTGTAACAGGATCAAAAAACCGTGGCCGGTCGCCGCATCCTATTAAACGGACCGGATTTTGGATTTCACTTCGAAATTTGGAATGGCGCATTTTCGAGACAATCACACGGAAAACAGCAGTCGGTCCATCAACGGCATTAAATTCAATTCAACCGGGTTAGCTGTTGTACGGACGAACAAATTACCAAAATTTCGAACACCGCCGACTCATTTGACGCCGCCAACTTGAGCCGTAAGAGGATTCGACCGCAATGCAACGCACCACCCCGCCGGTACCGATGGAAGAAATTTCGGGAGTGATGGAGGGTGCGGTCTCCAACGAAAACTGTCATTATAATAATGTGTATATTTTTTTTTTTTTTTTTTTATAAAATTTAACAGCTCTGTATACAACCATGTACTGTAGATGTATTAAATAAAAACACAAAAAATAAAAAAAAAAATATATGTTTTATTTATTTCATAATATTAGTTATGACGAGTTTTCAATTTATGGACAAATGCGAGAATATACTCGTCATTTGTATTACCTGTCTACTCACACACACACACACACACACACACACACATACGCATATAGAAAAAAACAAAAAGGTTCCCTTCTAATGTCAATGGGGTTTTTTTTAATTCCGTGGTCGTCCGCGCGCTCGCGTTACCCGACAGACCCTCTGTCTACTGATTGGCTGCCGGCGTCGTGACAATAGATTTTACGAAATATAGTCGCCGGCGACGACGGACCTATCGGTCCGAGAGCTATAGCCTTTGCCTCGCCCATCTACCCTATGCTGCGGTGTACTAATATATTATTTCATATCGGTCGTCCATAGACGATGGATTATAGTCGACAACGGACCAACACTTACCTAACAATCCTTAATATCCACTTGTCCCCCGCCCGTCTACCGGCATTTTTCTATTAAAACATTACAATTTGTTATAAATATTTGGTGGTGTCAAAACGATCAGATAGTCCGTCAGATATGGGCATCAACGAATACGATGAATGTGATTTCCCTAACCTTACGAATAGATTCCTTAAAAACTATAAGGGGATAAACTATAAGGATTTCTATTAAGTTGAAAAAGGACGTAGATGGGGCACATCATTTTTCCGATACAGACATGGAATACTATTCTGAGATGATAATAAAAAAATCACCGATATAGATTTAGAATTGAAAAGTCGAAAGAAGAAGGATAAGAAACGTATGACTACACACCCGTTTTTTTCTCTAGAGGAAAATCTACTGAAAAAAAAAAAAAATAAAAAAAAATAATGTAACCATCAAAATAAAACGAGTTTCTTTAGCATTATTCATATGTTCTAGATACAGGAGAAACCAACAGAAATACTCAAACCGCTTATGTGAATTTACACTCGGCCGGCCGTCTTAAAAGACCATACCAATTATACTGTGGAAGAGTATCGTGACATATTGGCCAATCATACTGTGTATCAGAAAAAAATGTACATATACTTGTAAAAATTGTGTATTTGTGAAAATTAAAATTATTTAACCTATACAGTCGAGCGATTAAATAAAAACACAATTATTTACAAAAAAAAAAAAAAAACATGCTTTCATTCATAATATTAATTATACAATAAAGTTTTAAAATAAAAAGGTTCTAAAAGTCTAAACATTGTTTATACGATTTATAAAGTACCACAGAATAGTTACTACTGACGATCGATCATCCAATAGGTTAGTTTGTTATAGGTTGGACTAGGTTATGAATAAACTAGGTTAAAAATATTGAAAAAAAGGGAGCTTGGAGGGAAAATATAGGTCGAGTAAGTAGTCGATAATGCGGACAAAATATTTGGATAAAAAATTATTTTGAAAAATATAGGGGTGAGGGAAAATATACGTAGATGAAGCGGTGGACAATTCGGGCCGTCATGTTACAGGTATAGCTCTTAGCTCCTTGCATCTTGCTCCTTGCTCCTGATCCTGATGGTGAAACCCCCTTTTCTTACTACTATTTAGGTATGCTGTTTTATTTTTCACATAATTAGAACGATCTGACGTAATTTTTTTTCTTTATAATTATTTTCGACAACTATAACATGAATGTATTCAAAATTGCGTAAAACTGCGCAATTTCGTTCAATCTTTTTTTCCGTAAAAAGCTTTTCCACCAGAAAGTTCTTCTCGCTCCAATCGAAAAGTGCAGAACCTTTTCTACAAAGAAATTTTATCTGGGTGGTTATTTACAGAGGTCATTTTTATGATTTTCTAAGAGATTTTCATAATAATTGAAAAAACGTCGGAAAAACGGGAAATTTACGAAATTTATTATTTTCAATTTTGTGTTTTTGTTTTAGTTCAAAATATTCGTAGACTTGAAATTTGGATAGAAAACTTATATTACTTGATATATGTGGTCAAATTCTCTGAAGGTTCATTATAAATCGTAATTTCGGATTACAACGAAAATTGTGTGCAATGTTGACCTTTTTTTT